TAGTAAATGGGCGTTGTCATAAGCTGATACATTTGATGTAATTTGTTACACAGCCAATAGGAAATTAACAAGATACTCAAAGTTGATCCAAATACTACAAACTTGATAGACAAATTTAAAAAGCAATTAAAATCATACTTCTAGATTATCAAAGATGAAATCAAAGAAGATATTACAAACTATTCTGAAAACAATGAAAAGAAAACCCTTAATGGTATACCATTTTACATAAAAACAGTATGTTGTACACCTTACATATATACACTTTTTATTTATAAATTATACCTCAGTAAAGCTGGGGCAGGATGGAGTAGAATCACCTGGGGAGAAAATAGTTTGCTGAGGATGGGGCCTAGGAATCTGCATTTTAATAAGCTTCCCGAGTGATTCTTATGCACACTGAATTTTGAGACTAGTACCTTCATGGAGTTCATCTTTGTGGTGAACTTTAAGAAAGTTGAGGTCCAGTTAATGAATACGAGAGGTTTTTTTTTTTTTTTTTTTGAGATGGAGTCATGCTCTGTCACCCAGGCTGGAGTGCAGTGGTACGATTTCAGTTCACTGCAACCTCTGCCTCCTGGGTTCAAGCAATTCTCCTGCCTCAGCCTCCTGAGTAGCTGGTATTACAGGCAAGCACCACTATGCCCGGCTAATTTTTTAAAAAAATATTTTTGGTAGAGACAGGGTTTCACCATTGGCTAGGCTGGTCTCGAACTCCTGACCTCAGGTGCTCTGCCTGCCTTGGCCTCCCAAAGTGCTGGGATTACAGGTATGAACCACCACACTTGGCCGATTGCTTATTTCTTTATATCTCCAAGCTCCACTGATCAGAAAATAATTTTCTTGAAAAGTTATCCTTTAGAAGTCAGATCATGTTGAGAGGACAAGTCTCTGGAATGTTAATAAAGGTATACGGGGCTAGCATTGTAGAACTGTTCACTTTTTGCATAGGAAATCTCACTGTTCGTGTTTTCCCATTGGACAAAATAAAATGGAGGATTTATATATTAATGTGTGAACAGTGCATAGCTACGTGCCAATAAAACAGCACAGTTAATTAACCAATAGCTTTTTATTTTTCTGCTCAGGGAAAATAAAAATGCTTTATAACAACTAGGAAAAACAAATAAATCCAAAAGCTCATTCTTTGAAAAGAGCAACACCAGCAACAAAATAGTCAAATCACTGGTAAGCTTATTCAAGGAAAAAAGATACATAGCAAAGATAGAAGAATTTAGGAATGAGAAAGGGCACATAACTACAGATAATGTGGAGTAAAAGAATCACCAGTGAGTGCTCCATACAACACTGTGACAACAAAATTGAAAAAAAAAAGTTACTTCTCAGAAAGGTATATAATTATTAGAGCTGACCCTAAAATAAGTTGAAACTTGAACTGAATGATTATCATAGAAGAGCCTGGCAAATGTCAGTAGGAGCAAATGGATTCATAAGTGAGTCTTGCCTAACTTTTAGACAATGGATAATTCAAATGCTACTTAAGCTATTCTAAGCGATAGAAATAGATGGAGCACTCATCAATTCATTTGATAAAGCCAACAAAACTTTGTTTACTATTATTATAGTAGGTTGAGTAGTGAAAACCTAGTAATAACAGTAAAAAAAAAAAAGCTATTGATCAATCTCACATTTAAAGGCACACAGTATCTAAAGAAATAGTAGCACACAGAACCCACTAATAATCAAATTACATGAATAGTAGATTTTACTTCAAGAATGTAAGGGTATTTAGTGTTAGGACATCTATTAACATAACTTGTTTATCAACATATCAAAGAAGACAATTCAGATGATACCAGCTGCTGAAAAGTCATTTATGATAAACATTTTGTGGCAAATGAGAATAGAAGTAACAAACACCATTTACCAAAACCAAACAGCAAATGTTACTCTAAATAGCAAAATACAAAAATTATTTCAAGTAAAATCATAGGGTAGAAGAAATGTTCACTTTCATTGTTATTATTTAACATTTTTTTTTGTTTTCTAATAAATTCAAGCAGAAAATGAAATAAGGGGCTATAAACATTGGAAAAGAGCTAAAATCTATCTCATTTGACTGATGATATGATTCAATACTCAGAAACTCTAAGGTAAAATTACTAGAATTAATAGGCAAATTTGGTAAGGTAGCTAGATTTAAGATGAATCACTGGTTAGGTGCGGGCTCACACCTGTAATCCTAGCTCTTTGGGAGGCTGAGGTGGGCGGATTGCTTGAGCTCAGGAGTTCAAAACTAGCCTGGCTAATGTGGTGAAACTCCATCTCTAAAAAATATACAAAAATTATCTGAGCATGGTGACTAGCTCCTGTAGTCCCAGCTACTTGGGGGGCTGAGACAGGAGAATTGCTTAGGAGGACAAAGCTGCAGTGAGGTGAGATCACCCCACTGCACTTCAGTCTGGGTGACAAAATGAGACTCTGTCTCAAAAGAAAAAGCTGAATATAAACAAACCAATAGCTTATCTCTATTCTGGTACTAAGCACTTATAAATGGAAATAGGAGAAAACTATTTTATTAACAATAGCATCATACTTATAAAATACATAGAGATAAATGTAATAAGAAAATTATTTAAATTTATTATATTAATAAAATTAAGATATGAGTTTAATGAAATTTCAGTTAGAATCACAAGAGGGCTTCAATCTTTTTAATTTGAAAAATATCTTAACATTTTTATGTGGAAGAATAAAGTGTCTAAGAATAGCTAAGAAAGGTATAAAAAGAATAGTGAGGATTGCTTTCACCCACCAGATATCAGAATATATCATAGACTGACGGTAATCAAACCAATATAATATTGGCATAACAAGATAATAGTATATTAGTGAAACAGCCTAAGGAATCCAGAAATATATGCTAATAAATATGATAATTTTATATGATGAATGTGTTGATTCAAATCAGTGGCAAAAGGTGTCATCACAATAGACCATTGATCTGGATGGAACTAAAACTAGGCAAATCCCTCTCATGCCATATGCAAAAAGTAATTAGCAGATGAACTGAAGGAATGCATATAAAAAGCGAAACAGTAAACATCTTGCAAGAAAATCTGGAAGATTACACATACAATCTTGAGGTGTGGAAAACATTTTTAACAAAACTTGTCAACTCTGAAGATATGAAAGAAAAGATATCTCTGATTATAAAAATTAAGAACTGTTTTGGTAAAAATTATAACAAAGTCAACAGACAGATCTTGGGGGAAACTGCAATATACATGACAAAGGGTTAATACTTGTAATAAGAAAAGGGTTCTCATATTTTTTTTTAAATGAAAGAGCCCATAGAAGGATAGGCAAGGCATATGACTAGTTAAATCCCCCAAATAAATCCAATAGCAAACAAGCATTTAAAAAGATGCTCAACTTATTAGAAATAATAAGAACACAATGAAAGTAATGATGCAATATCATTCTACATGTATAAAACTGGCAAATTTTAAAAACAGGATAAAACATCACTAATGTGAATGCACAGAGAAGGGCATTTTCATACTTCAGTGGTGGAAATGTGTGAAAAGTTCTGGTCTTGTTGGAAATTAAAACTTAGAAGGAAACATTCCCTTCGTTCCAGTAATATTCCTCTTGCAAATTTGTTCGACAGTTATAAAAGCACCAACCAGTATGTAATGATATAGGATATAGTAGCCACGAAACTGGAATAAAGTGAATGTATTGACTAAATTATGGCACAGCCATACCATAGAATCTTATATAACTTATAAAAATAATGAATTAAAGGTATGCCAATTGATTTAGAGTTCTAGTAGGTGTTAATTAGTGAGAAATGTGTGTATAATGTCCCAATGTTATAAAACAAATAATGTCCAAGAAAACCTTTTTGTGTGTGTGTGTATGTGTGTGAATACGTATTATCGTACTGGGGTTACCTAGTTGAGGTGGGGGAGAAAGGGACTGATGGAAGGTGAGGAGCCAACATGAGCACATTTAAGTATTTACAATACACATTTGAAGAAGACAAAACAAAATATAAAATAAACAATTTCAGCATTCAACTCAATAAGCAAAAATTGAACAACAAAATGAACCAAAGGAAACTAGAAGGAAGGAATGAATTAATGAAAGTAGAAGCAGAAACTGATGCGACAGAAAAAAAGAGGTTGATAAATTAAACCAAAAGATAATTCTTGACAAGACTAATAAAATCAAGAAAACTCCCAGAAATATTATTTTTAAAAAAGAAAGAGAACATAAACAACATAAGGAATGAAAAAGGAACTATAATTACGAAAGACACAGAACAGTTTAACAAAATCACAAGAGACTCTTATGTGACTTGATACCAATACATTATCAAATCTAGGGATAGTAAATTGCTTTCTATGAAAATATAGACCAAAATATAGACCAAAAATATACCAATATTTACTGAAGAAGAGGTAGAAAAATCTGAATCAACTGATGATCATAGACAATATTGACAAAGTTATTTAGTAGTCTCCCTAAATGCACCAGAACCCCCAAAACATTAAAAGCTTCTGAACTCATGGCTGATTTTATACTTAACACCCAAAGTAGGAAAAGATACAAAAGGACACACATCGCATGTACACACAAGAGAACTAGACATTAAACTTGTGTGTGATATTGATTGGATTTCATTGCCTTGAATCTCTCTATGGAAGCTTGGGCTGGTGGAGGGCAGTTTTGTCTTTGTTCCTTCACCCTCCCTCTACTCGTCTCTAGAATCTGGAGGAGCAGCAGGTGACAAAGAGAAGCAATGGACAAAATAGAACAAAATATCAACGAATAGGTCAGACCTATGAAAAGAATTGGCAATTAGCATTTCTGCTAATAATACAGATGTGTGCACATCTTACCCGTAAATGTTTCTTTGGGGCCCAGGTAGCATCACAACCATCCTAATCCAATGTCTGCACCTTTCTCCAAGCAGACTTATATCCCCAGAATCCTGGCCCATGATCAGACCCTACAGAACATGCCTTTACCTTGTGTCCACATGCAGTTCACCGAGATCACTTTGCATATAGTCCCATGGCAGTTCCACTGCACCCAGGTAATATCTTCTGGTGGCACTAAAGCAGAATCGCAAAAGGCACAGAAAGAAGCAGGTGGAGAGCTCTATTTGCATGACTTATCGCTACAAATGTTCAACTGGAGAAGCAAAATGTTAATTCTTCTTAACAATATCTTTAGCTCCCAGGAGGGGAAAAAGTAAAATTTCTGATTTAGTGAAAAGTCCCAATTTCTTCGCAGAGAATTTTAGGGAACTTTACCCACTGGATGTGCTTAGCACTAAGTAGTAACCGATAGAATTGCTTCCTTTTTGTTAGTGGGAAGCAGCCACAGGAAGAACTGAAGTAGGAAAAGGGAGGCTGAGCTAAACTTAACCCATTCACTTCTGAGAGCAGTAGGGGCATGAGAAGTCTGTTTTAACCAGAACCTTTAAGGAAAGGAAGAGAGGGGTGGAGAAGTCAAAGTGAACAGGAGTTTTAAAACTACAATTTGTAGTTATAATTTAAAACTATAAAGCGAGTCCTGTCAGTCCTCTTCTCAGAATCCTCCAATGGCTTCCGACCTCCGTCAGAGTAAAATCCTACGTCTTTATCCTGGCCTAGGCCCTAGAGTATCACACGTAGTTTGCGAGACAGGTGTGTTCTAGGTGCTTTTAAATACAGCTGCTATTCGTACCTTAATTTTATGGATGTTGAAACTTAAGCACGGAGAAGTTAGGCAAGTTCCGCATGGCCACACAGCTTGTTAATGTTAGCATTCGAATCCATGTACTCTGACTCCAGAAGTCATGCTGTTAACCACTATGCTATGCTTCTGTAACTGGGTCGTGGGATGGGATGGGGCTCACCTCCTCCCCTCCATTTGATGTCCCGGAGGTTTTTGGGCTTCCTCGCCCCAGGAATGGGGAAGAGGCCATGGCGGCACGGTGAGCTTACCGGTTAAGTAACTATTGGACCCAAAGAGTTTTGCAGAGGGCGATTTATTACGCAGAGAGAGAAAGACAGATAACCAGAGCGAGCTCCCACACTGTTGTGGGAGGGCATCCCAGAAAGGGAAATCCGTGCAAGTGGAGTTTTAACATTGAAGTTATTCCCGCCCCATTTATGTTCTCGTCCAGTGAGAGGAGTTCTTTTAAACGTCCTCTGGAGTGATTGATCTTTGGCTCCGATATTGGATTGGCTGCTTGGCGCGCAATATAGCCCCTCCTTCCAGGGCTTTTGGCGGGCTTTCTGAACAAAGGACGCTTACCTGGAATTTTACCTAGCCCGCGTGCAGGAAAGTTAGACAAAGAACTCTAGGTTCCTGGATGGGGAGGAGGATGGAGGCATGGCGCTGGTAAGTTCTTGCCTTTGAAACCACGCCCCTTGTGGACCCCGGAAGAGAAGTTAACATACTCCCTCACTTCTACGCCTCAGAAATGAAGAAATCCCAGTTCCTGACGCCCTGGGAATCACAGTCCAATGGAGGAGACAGACAAGTAGACAGTTACAGTACAGGGTGATAAATTCTCTGCCAGGTGCTACACATATGCCGTCTGATTTAATCCTCATAACAACACTGCAAAGTGGATACAGATAAAGCAACTGAGGTACAGAGAGGTTAATTATCCATGTGTCCTAGACAGATATTTTCCTAGTCATTGGGTACACACTGATAAAAAACATAAGCAACTGAAAGAAGGATAAGTAAAAATTATGCAGTGTGTTAGGAGGTAAAATAAGTGCTGTGCAAAAAAGAGAAGTGGGGTAAGGGGGAGTAGGGGTGGACCAGGTGGCAATTTTGAAAGAGGTCATGGAAAGTCTCACTAAGGTTGCATTTCAACAGAGGGACTTTGACTTCTACACTGAGGGCAATGGGGAGACACAGTGTGGTTCTAAGTAGAGGAGGGTGGTGATCAGAATTATGTTTTAGGCTGATCGTTCTGATTACGGCAGGCAGAACAAACTCTAGCGGGACAAGGGTAGAAGGAGGGTGACCTGTTAACTGGGGGTGAGAATTGGTGGCGGCTTGAGCTATGATGGTACCACTGGAGAGGGTGAAAAGTGGCTGGATTCATTGTGAAGGTAACGTTTGTGGGAGTTGCTGATGAATTTTGCATCTGTGGGCTTTGAGAGGAAAAAATTTGGTACACCAATGTTTTTTGAATAGTAAAGTTGACTATCCGGGATGGGGATGACTGCAAGAGTAGCTTAGGCGCCCTTAGGGCGATATACCTGTCACTCTTCCCAGTGCCTTAGCACACTGTTAAAGGGCTCCTTTCTTATTTGTAGCGATTACAATGGTTTTTAAATGTGTCTTCCAGACAAGTACAGTACAATCCAACATGTTTAAAGTTCTACAGTAGACTGTAATAATCTAGGTGGGAATGTTGATCAGGAATGAAATACAATTTAAAAATTAACAAAGTAATGAGTCAGAGGCTATATTGATAGAAGCACTTTTTGAGGAATAACATTCTCTAGTCCAAGGGCTTATTTGATTGAAAAATTTTATCGATTTTTTTTTTTTTTTGAGACGGAGTCTCGCTCTGTCGACCACACTGGAGTGCAGTGGCACGGTCTTTGCTCACTGCAACCTCCATCTCCTGAATTCAAGCAATTCTCTGTCTCAGCCTGTCGAGGAGCTGGGATTATAGGCGCCTGCCTCCACACCTGGCTAATTTTTGTATTTTTATTAGAGACGAGGCTTCACTTTCTTGGCCAGTCTGGTCTTGAACTCCTGACCTCGTGATACACCTGCGTCGGCCTCTCGAAGTGCTGGAATTATTAAATTTTAAATCAAATAGACCCCATTTCCAAATTTTTATGTTTTCAGGGATTCTCTAAAAGCTACAATATTATCAACTACATATTCACAAATAATTACAACATACAAAACAATATGGTATTGTGGTAAAAGAGAATTGCAAAAGAGTACTGTGACCATTTGTAGCAAATAGAAACCATAAATTGGAAATCTTCATAGATAAGGTATATTTTTATTTTATTTTTACTCAACTCTTACGGTGCTACAAAATCCTATATTAAGCAGTATAGTTGAAAAGGAAAAGAAAACGAAAGCATAATGATTATAAAGAAAATAGCTTGAGTTACTTAAATTGTGTCACTCCTAAGGCAGTGGATCAAATAATGTCAATGTTTATTATTCACTAATTACATTTATAAATACATTTTAAAAGTAAAGGAAAAGACTCGCTGCTTTAACTAACATAATAGAAATTGTTGCTGGATTTTCTGTTGCTATATTTTGAAGTCAGTTTTATTAAATATAACTCACATGTAGTAAAATTCAAAAGAATAATTAAATACATGGGCCGGGTGTGTTGGTTCACGCCTGTAATCCCAGCACTTTGGGAGGCCAAGGCGACTGGATCATCTGAAGTCAGGAGTTCGAGACCAACCTGGCTAATATGTCGAAACCCTGTCTGTACTAAAAATAGAAAAGTTAGCTGGGTATGGTGGCGGGCGCCTGTAATGCCAGCTACTTGGGAGGCTGAGGCAGGAGAATCGCTCGAACCTGGGAAGCGGAGGTTGCAGTGAGCCAAAATCGACCCAGTTGCACTTCAGCCTGGGCGACAGAGCAAGACTCCATCTAAAAAAAATATAAAGAAAATAAAAATTAAATACATAAATAAAATGTGTCTTCTTCCACTAAGAGTCGGGCACATCGCAGGAGCCGATAAATATTTGCTTGATGTTTACATGAACAAACACGGTCTCTCAGCCGTCTTTATTTTCAGTGAGTCATAGGCAGAATATTCTTAACCAGGCAAGGATTGAGGATTGAGTCAGAGTCGTGTCAGGAAGTCTCCTCCAGGTACTTGGCGAGCGAGCCCTCACGGCCCTGGTTGGTAGGGCGTGGGAGACGGTGGGAGTGGGGGAGGGAGCCTCAGCCCCCGGAGGCTCTCTGCGCACGCGCGTCTCGGCGCATCAGTTGGGCGTGGCTTCAGGGCTTGTGACACAGTCCGCTGAGCTCTGTGACGCAGATGCTAGCTGAGACAGGAAGCGGCCGCCGCGCCCCCGGCCCGCCCTCTTCCGTCGCCGCCGTGGGAATGGAAACATCTGCCCCACGTGCCGGAAGCCAAGTGGTGGCGACGACTGCGCGCCACTCCGACGCCTACCGCGCAGATACTCTCCGTGTGTCCTCGCGAGACGAGGTCCTCGAAATGGCTGCGTCCAGTCAAGGTAAGGGCGGGCGCGCGCGCGGCTAGCGCCGCGGGGAGCCGCCTTCCTGGGCTCCGGAAGGGGAAGGGCTCTGCTCCCGCCAGTGCCGACCGAGGTCCCCCGGCAGCCCGAGCGGCACGGGGACGGGGAGGGCCCTCGGGGCTCGACCCTGGACTAGCAGCTCCCAGGGTCTGGCCAAGGTCACACGCATGTCTGGGGCCTAACCACCCAGGGGTTTCGTCTCCAGTGGACCTCACCCAGCCTTCCGGCGCCGCCCCCAGCAGCTAAAGCCCGCAGACATTCTGTTTCTGTTCTCAGAAGCGGTCTGGCTTCTTTGTGCCTTTGGACGTTCATGTCAAATGCCTCGTGGCGTCATTCTGTGTACAAGGCGCTTCCCCAACTGCATTATTGATGGTTTTGAAAAACTAGCGTATATGGGATGGTACTTAGGAATACCCTTTTGTTTAGTCGGCATAGTCGAAGGACGACTTGGTGTAATTCACAGTAGAGCACGTCTTTAAGTTATGCTTCTTACCCTGTTTTGAATGCTTACTGACTCACAGGATCCCATTGCTAAACAGAGTCATCATCGAAAACTCAATTATATACACCTGAAATTATAAATTATGTTAAAAACAAAAGCAGTGAAGATACTAAATACTTATCACTTTTATTATTTACCATGTTTTATTGTTACTTTGCTTTTGAGGTTATTTATACATTTATTGCATCTGTGTGGAGGAGATACTATACTATGGTGCTCTACTGTGCATCACTTCCCAACTCTGAGTTCAGTGGTGTCACAATTCAGTTATATCACGCTCACGTCACAATGAATGAATACACAATGGAAATTGGCTGCACTACAAATCAGCCCCTGCCTAAAGCCGACTGTTAAGGATTTTACCAGCACACCACTAAATTTTAGATGACTCTAGGAAGGTAGAATGTACAATGTGATAATTATGCATTTTTCTGTAGAGCAGACCGCTCTTATTGACTTTAAACGTATAGGTTGATCAGGTATTTGCACCTAGGAGATTGTTGCGAGAAATTTTGAGGTTAAGATGAATTTCAATTGTTATCACAGTGATGATCATATAATACTGTGATCATTGATTTCCTGGGCTCATAAACGTGGCTAGTGACTGACTTTTGTCTATCATAGTGCTTAGCAGTGTTTGACCAATGACTGACCTAAGTAAGGTCAGACCTTAGCAGTGTTTGACCAATGACTGACCAAATTTCTCGCATTTAATCTACCTTCCCCTCTCCCCTTTTTAGGGACTAGATCTGTCATTCAGGCTAGAG